GCTCCACGCGCGCCCCCGCGCCCCGCCGACAGAGGGCGCCGCCCCCCCCAGCTCGTGCCCGGCCCCTGCCTTCTCTCTTGACGTCACCCTCCACGCTGACGTGACCCTTCCTCCGTCAGTCTCGCCACCAGATAACGTGGAGTCAGGCAAAGAGGAAGCAAAAGGGAGGGTTCAGGCAACGGAGAGACAGTCCATCCCCTTGGGAAATTACTGTTAAATGCATTAAATGGGGCTGCTACGCCACAGCAATCGTTACCTCGCTCTTAAGATATCATTAACGATGGTATCAGCTAAGGCATTTTCCTAGTTTGGCCCCCAGTGATGCGATTGCAGGCCATTTTCAGGCATTTCCACAAGGTCATGCTTTTTAAAAAATAAATTTATTCCAGTGGACAGTTATATGGAGATCACAGAGTTTCATCCACTTTTCCACGTCGATTCTTTCCTTCACAATACATAGCCTCTGATGGCCAGGAGTGTGATTTTCGAAGCATTTTTACTGGATTTTCAAATGTTTTTGCACTGGGAACTGAAGACATACTGTTTTGAGAATGGAGGTTTTGGCAGCAGGCGTGTACGGGGCCCGATGACCCCTGGGCTTTGTACTGACAACTCCCCAGCGTGCCATTTCCTTTATCCCGTTCCAAAACATCCTCTTTGGTCTCTATTGCGCGAGACAGCATGTAACTAACCTTTCTTTGATGAGCTAAAGCCTCCTCTTTGTCATTTACCTGGGTATTTATTCAAAAGAGAAAGAAAATGAACTTAGTTTATAAGCTAAGAACAAGGCAATCTATGTAAATCCACAGCTATATTTGCTCTCCTAAGGACTCACGATGAATAGCTTAACAAAATACCAACCAAATCTATTAACATCTTCAGGATTTCGTGAGGATGGTCGAGCTTTTCAACTTTCCTGCAGTCTGCATCTGATGACAGCAGGCTGGATAGTTTTTGTCCCAGACTGTTCTTGTTCCATTGTAACTTGACATGTCCTAAGGAAAACAAAAGTACATCAACTGTGGAATTTAGGAAGAGAAAAACTACTTTGGGATAAAATGGGCATACATAAAACTGGGTTCTGAACCATCTCCTCTAAAAGGGCAACGCAAGCTACAGCTTCTCCCGCCGTACAGGACAGGGCAGATTAGTGGCACGCAGCACCACCCTTAGCATCACTTAAAGCCTGAATAGACCTTTCATTGTATATATGGGCCAATTGAAAATAAAATTCTTTTTGCTCTATGGAAAACATACTTTAGCACTCTAGTTAAACAATAATTTGTGGTAATTTGTTTTTAAACAGTAAGTAGCCTGAAAAAAAGGTGGGTTTTGACACAAGGTGTTTAAAAGCTTCTAAGATTTCTAAAAAAGATTAAAATATATTAAAATTATGAAACAGATGTATCAGGATATAGAGCTGGGAAACAATGACATGGGTATAGGGGAAACAGGTATTCAAGATGGATGCTGTTTTAGCATTACATCCTGAGGCTGCTCAAGGAATCTAGAAGACCCACCAAACTTCTAAGCCTGGCACCTCCAGGCCAGTGGCTAACACAAATATATCTTGAAGTGCTGTTCCTAAATTCTGCTATGCTTTTGACCACGACATAAGCACTTAAATACTTCTCCTTACCCTTTTTCTTAAAAAAGGATAATACAAATTCTTCCTCTTTCAGAGTGCTTTGTAACCCACAGGTGACCATGTGAAGTACAAGAAGAGTAATAAAAACTGATGTAGATACACATACATAATAAAAACCAGTATTGTATTTAGTATTTCAGTGAAAGCTCAGTATATATTTTTTACATTTCTCCTCCCTCCCTTACTCTTACATAGAGATCATTTGAAAAAAACCCAGCACATTAAATTGCTGATAGCATCTAAAATGGACAGGCTAAACTTGCCAGATATTAGCTTTTTTGTGCTGTTTTCATAATAAACATTTTTAATATCCAGAATGTTATTATCATCCTGGAGAATGGCTTATTTATTCCAGCATGTGTTCACTCAGATAATACAGTTCATAAACACATAGTAAAAAAAGGCTACATTAAAAGCCTAGACTGGTAGCTCTAATAACCTACAGTAGTATTTATATAGTCCACTTATACATAGACACTGTACATTATACATGCGAAACTTCCGGTAGAAATTCTTCAGATACACAACACACTGTTTAACGTATTTACAGTTTTTAACATAACATTGTTCCTTTTTTCTCGACTCTTCGGAAGCCTTAGTCAGCAATTAAACCACAACCATACATTTAGTACAGTAAGAAAGTCTGCCTGTGCCACCTGTCAGCTGACTTCTTTTCTATTCAACCATTACAGACATGCAGCATGCCCAGTTACCATCGTCTTTCAGACGTCTCCAGTTTATGAATTTCGTTTCTTTCTTAATCTTTATCACTTCTGCAAGCCTCAGGGCTTGGTCCTTCCTCTGCATTAGCTGCTGCTCAAATGCAATTCTGAAGGCATCTGCCATTATATAAGCTTCATCTTTACTCTTCTTCAGATTTTCAGTCTGGTTTTAATTCAGAGAAAATTGAAAGTATATTAAGCAATTTGGAACCAATAGCAGATTTAAAATATATATTAAGAGACAGACTGAAGCCATTAACACAGACAACTTTTAAATAAATATAATGAAGGAAGTAATAGAAACCAAAGTGCTTTCTTGCCACGGTAAGAAATACATTTTGAAATGTGTATTGAAGTCCTTATCTTTCCTTTTCTACGCATGCACACACCACCACCCACCTACACAGACAAGCTGCCAGCAGTGCCTGTTTATTTCTGCGCATGCAGAAGAGCTTGAGGAGGGCATTAATGTCCCATGCTGGTTGGGCCAGGAGCAAGAGGAGCAACAGAATCGTATCTCTGTCAGGAATAATCACTTTGGTACAAAAGGGTCATGACAGTACTTCTTTTCAAAACCTGTAGGTCAGCTGGAACTTCTGCAGTGGGACCATGAGGATGGTTACCACATCTGCAGAGTCAAACACAAATCAGAATTAAAATTCTAAAACCATAGAATTTCACTAAATTAAAAACCTTAAGAGCTTGAAAATCATGTTATCAATTTAAGCGTGACGTAAATAGAGAGTTTTCACCAAGATCAGCTTCCTGACCTAGCTCAGTGAGTGGGCTTGTAAGTGCTGATGTCAATGCGAGGGAGGGGTGGAATGCACTGACAGGAAGGAAGGGAAAGGGTCAACGGTAGTCCACACTCACACTGCATACACATGTATGGAGTGCATACACTTAGGAGAGTTTTTTCCTTTATTTATGGGTGGAAGGAAAAATAATGACTTTTTTTTTTACTAGTAAAGCTGATTGGTATCATAATTACAGTTTCATATCAGCAGAAGTTAGGGCATTACAAGCACTAGAAACATACATTACATTACTTCTGAGAAGCATTCTTGTTTTAAGACACATTAGTTTGTGTAAACTGCAGTAGAGTGTTTCTGGCTTTATTTGGTTTTGAGCACAAGCACCCCTCTGCTTGTTCATATCTAAGCCAAGCAGCATTACCTCTTGCTTGAGATGAAGAACTTGCTTTCGAGTTACAGCTGCCATTTTAGCACAAGGACAAGGTTGGCCGCCAGAAGTATTGCAGGTGCAGGCTCCAAGAACTGCCAGCTTAAAATCCAAAACAAACCACCAGTTAAGTATCTATCTGCATACACAACGCAATCCAAGAGATGCCACATGACTAGCAAAAAAATATCCTGAAACTACAAAGGGAGCTACAAGAGATTTAGGCATGATTTCTTTTGACTCACAACCACACGCCTGAAATGTATTTTTCTGCAAGATAACCTAAAGGCAAAAATTGTTGGCCTGTGTATGCTTCTCCCTGCAGACCTCATCAGAATTTTTCTTCACTCAATAAAGTAAAGCAGTAGGCATAGGAGTTAAGAATGAAGATATTAGGAAGAAAAAAATAAGCATGCTGGCTTGTGAAAGATAGCCTGATCCTCCTTCTGTCTACTCTCTCTTTGCAAGATAGGAATCATGATGCACCAGAAATTAGAAAACTGATTAACAGGCATGCAAGGGCATGTTGTCATTAGCTAAAAATGGGTCCAAAGAAACAGTTAAATAGTAAGTAAGTAAAATTTATCTATGCATTTTGAATATAAACATATCTTTGAACCAGCCATTTTGAAAAACATGTAAGCCACACTTACTTCAAGACCTGTAAAATCTGTAATGTCACCTTTATTCAAGGACATGTTTTCCTGAACAACCTTCTGTTGTTTCACATCTAGCATTGCAAGAAATTCCAAGCACTGCTGATTCAGGACTATGAAATAAAACAAGGAAGTGATTAAAAAGTCTGCTGCTCTGAGTTCTTAATTTCTGGGTTTAACTACACCCAATTAAGTGGTTCTGTGGTTTAAGCATCACTTTGGGAATGTGGTGAGACTATGCAGATCTAGAAACTCAGATCCCAGTTGTCTTTCCTAGAGGTAATGACCCACTTACAGAGATATGAACTCATATATTACTCTGCCTCAGCACTAAGGGCTCATCTTTTTGTACACTTACACCTAAGGCAGCACGATATTGGGAAAATAATGATGTATGTCAGCTGTTTTAAAGCTTTTTGGAAACCAAAAATAAGGGAAAAGGGCTTGCTTGAGCCATCTGACCCAGCCAGATGGCTGCACAACCTGCAGTTTGAAAACCTCCACTATAAAGTCCACATGCTCAATACCTCGAAGTTCGTGCTATGGGAATTTTTAAGTGGGTATGTTAAAAGTGAATGCCTCTGACGCAGATTGTCATTGTAATTGGTGGATCCCCTGGCTGCTGTTGCCCCTTTCCAGGACATGACTAGGAGCACGGACCAGTTGTTTCCCTCCACACCCAGGGTGTCACCACACCAGTGAAATAAGATAGGTATATTTCTTTCACACCTGATCTACTCTTTAAGCTATGCATACCTGACTTTTCCTATCATTTCATGGCTTTTTTTTCAGTTAAAGTGACAATGTGAGAAGAAAAACAAACACAAGTTGTCTGTTTAAAGAGGGTTTCTGCATATCCACTAGTATCAGCTGCCAGTAACGAGAGACTTATGCTGACAGATAGCTTCCTTCATAACTAAATCCTGAATTATTCCTGACAGAGTATGTGAAGAGGAATAGATGTTGGTGGCTTACTTGCATTTTCAGCTTTAAGAGTTTTAACTTCTTCTGTTCTCAGCTTCAATGCTTCCTTAAGAGCTGCATTTTCACAAGATATCCTGCAGAAGTTAGAAAAAGGCTGTATTACATTTTAAAAAATATTTTAAAATGGGCACTCAAATGACAAAAAGAAATTAGCTTGTTAAAACACTGCATCTAGTATTTCTGCAAATTAATATTAGGATTACTGATAAGATTGAAGAAAAAAATCAAACCTGAAAAGAGTTGAGTATTCGGTTTGACAAGATATTATCCATGCAGCATTATACAAGCAGTTTCCTCACTTGTAAATTTTTTTATGGAAAATATTGTCAAATTTTTCCATAACAGCATCTGTACCAATAATATGCAGTATGTTAGATCCAAATCTGCCAGCCAGGGGCCGATAAGCAACCTAAAACTGTTCCTAACTCTCTGAAGAACGTTCCGTGTGTAGGGTTGGTCTGACTGGCCCAGAACCAAGGCTAAGAAAGCAGGCTATGTCAGGCTGGCTTCTGTGGCGTCACTCCTCGTGATCCAGGCTGCAGGTGGCTCTGCAGGGAGCAAAACCAAGAAGCTCTGCACTCACGCAGAGGTTTCTCTGCAACCCAGATGGCATGTGCTATTCAAACAGGCTCACCTTGTCCGTGAAACCACACCCTCACACAACCAGTTTAAACATGTCCAAGTATGTTCAAGTGAATGTTAAAAATGAAAATTAAAAAAAAAAGATTCACATCTAAGTAGATGGTGCCAACAACTTCAGAGATTAACAAGAGGTGAGTTTAAGTACCACATCACCATTAGAAACTCAAAGAAATTTGCAATTATGAACCTCTGGAACACTTGCTAGAAATCTCTTACTTCCTTGAAAGAACAAAATTGTTATTGGACATGTGGCAACATGGCTCTGGTCTCAATTTTAGAAAGTAAACTTCCTGTATTCTTGACACTGTTCTCAAGAACAGCTGTACTTTCAAGCGTTGCAGCCTGAGAACATACAATATGCATTTATAATGCATTTTTTCCTTGAAGTATTTAAGTATTTCCTTCTTGAATAGAAAAGTGGCAATCTAAAGTCCTAAATATTAAAGCAATACAATTTTTTTGGTGCATCCCTTCAGCTGTCGGTAAATGCAGCATACTGTAAATTCATGGTTTTGTTTAAAACTAAATAGTAACCTGAATCATTTCACTTGAATAAACAAAGGAAAATACACATTCTTCTCATCCTGCTGTTTCAGATATCATAAAGCCTTTTTACAAAGCAGACTGAGCTCCTGGTTTCTTGCAGTTTTCCGAAGCCACATCTCTAGCTTTCAATAGTTAACAGTAGTTTTGTTGCTCTGAACTACCTGGCTACACTTCCTACTCTCTCAAGTCAGGAAAGCCAAAGGGTTTTTCAAGAGGTATCCCTTAGCAAGTGTAACTAAGTTAACCGGCAAACAAGATACAGTATCTTATCAAAACTCTTCCGACGAATAGTTTGTAAACTTTTGGCTTGTTCTTTGAATCAAAGTTTGAAAATTTTAGATAAAAATCTCTGCTGAAATAATTGTAAATCTGATGGGTAGAGATCAGAGATATCATTTCTATGTTCAAATAAGTGAGCCTGCTGGTCACATTTTTCAAGGTCTGTTATTGCATTATTAGTTCAGTGCCTCTGGCATCTTCTGCTTGCCTAACCACACCTGCTGTCTGGCCAGAGTAACTCTTATTTAAACAAAGAACCAGTTGATCAGCCTCTCTCAAAAGCATTCCATTTTACCTGTACATATGCTCACACCTACAACGCAAGAAAATAAAGCAATGATTAACCAGCAAATGATATTTCCACATGCATGCACATACCATTATTTTCTATGCCTCATTTACTAAACATAAGTAAGGACAGTCTGGATCCAGCTGGCTAACATAATAACATAACAGGATGAAAATGAAAACTCAGCCTAGCAAAGCTAGCCTATATACACACACTAAAGAATCGAGACTTAATAATTTTAGTAGTTTTTAATTGAAAAATTCAAATGTGACTAGCATGAAAATTAAATAAATCTTCCCAAATCTGGAAGGAAATTGGGAGAACACAAAAAACCCAGAAAACCTGATGAAGCAAACTTGGAACACAAGAAAGATGACATATAGCGTTCAATGCAATTAAAAAAAACCTCAAAGTACAGAGTGTAAGTCAAATACCTGTCATATTTTTCTGTCCACGTGTCTTCTATGTTTTTAAATCTATCCTGATCAAATTCAATTTCCCATTGCAAAATATTTATTTCCTGTGGAAAGAAAACAAACCTGCAGCAGTTTATTACAAGCATCCCATTGAAAGGAAGAAGAGGAACTGTTGGTCCTGAGTTTGGCACTGGCAGAGGTCTAGGTGACCAACGATGGTGATGATCTGTGATACTGTTAAAAATACCTTTGGTGACAGACACCAAAAGTTTCTGCATCACTGATCTATAGATTCCAGACCATGCTGCATGAACTAATGCTTGTAGTGGCTTATGAGAAAAACAAATCCACACTGGTCACATTTCCCTGTCCCCTTACTGTTCTGTGGAAAGGTCACAGAGGAAGAGAAACAAAGCTTAAAACTCAGTTTAATAAGGTAGCTCAAGCTTTCTCCCCCCTGCCATGAAAACTGGGCACCCATTTTTTAGACTCGTTGGGAAGTTCCAGCTTAAGAACTAAGAAATAGTGCAACTCACTATGAATGACTCTGAAACTCACAACAAAGACCAGCTGAAAGTACAGAGAGAACTCTAGTAACTTTCAGGTATTATTTGTACACACTATAGCATGAAAACATTTAGATCAAAAGAGTGATATATTAACATTTTCTCTTCCTACTAAAAAAGAGTAAGAATACTTTAAAATACCCTGGAACTAACGGCAGATTTGACTGATTTTAAAAAGACAGTCTGATAACCCCTTAGTAGTAGCAATGGACTTTTATGTTTTTGCACAGGTGTGAAGGAAACATGCACCCTTACCTTTTCTAAAGTTCTCTTTTCTTCCTCAGTTTTTTGAAGCATTGCTTTTGTATGACTAGTAGCTTTATTAAATACTGCCTGAAAAAAAAAAGTGTAACTGTCAAATACTGTAATTAATTTAGCGAAATTTTCAGTTTTACATCAAGAGAAGTTCACATTCTTAGTTAAACAGGAGTGTGCAGAATTATAAACACTAGCAACTTGCTTGTAAGTCCCAGTGGGTTCTAATTTGAAGTCACTAAATAGCTATGTTGCATAGCAAACGTGTTTCAATCCCATAATCTTTTCTATTGCATAACGTAGCATCATTTAAGATGAGATCACGTCTTCTTTAGGGCTTGTCCACAAAATCAGCTCTTAAAAAAATTGATTACAACATACTTATACTTTGATCCAGGTGTAACTTACGAAGAATGTCTGAGGGTAGAAACTCCAGAACTATAAATGGGTTATGCAAGTAGGCTAAAAAACAGGAACTGATTTCAACATTATTCATTGTGATAGCAAATGAAAACATTACAAACTGTGAACAAAAGACTGACCTAACATTCAACACACACTGTCCTCTAAGACAACAGATGGAGTAGTCAGCTGAAAATTTCTGTGCTTTGCAGCAGAACTTCAAGCACTGGCAAAATTTAAAGGACTGGAAAGAAGGCCTTATCCTTTAAGTTAAATAGCTAAACCTTCAAGGATCCTCAAACAAAAATTATGAGAATTTGCTACAACAGTAAAGTCTTCTTAAATAACCGCAATGGTTCCACACAGAAAAAGTAGTAAATCGTAGAAGACGAGTCTGTAGACACTTGCAGACTCAATGCTTTAAATTATAGCCCTGGGAAGAACTTAAGGTTTGGGGGGTTTTGACGAGGAGTGGCAGTAAGATTTCTTCTGTTTTCTTTCCTTTACCACTAAGTACCTAAACAATTTCTGAACAACTCGTACCATGCTCTGCAGAAGTCTTAGGGCTTCATCTTTTCCTTCAAGCTGTCTTTGTGACGCTTCAAGCTCAACTTTCAATATTTCAATTTCCTGAAGCAAAATAAAATAGGAACACTGAGTAAAAGTCAAGGTAATCCTGTTAAAAGTCGACTGTAACAGCAACATAAATTTGCCCTCTTCAAAAACCAAATATGATTCTTTTCTGACTAATAGCTCGCTTGAGATGAAGAGATGTTAACAGTGCACGTTAGCACGAAATTCTCAAAGAAGAATACTTGTAATTATTATTCCTTCTGTTCTCTTCCAGTGTATTTGGAAAATAAACCACTGAATACTGCAGTTCTTCCTTGCTAAAGAAATTGTATATACCAACACAGGTCTGGAGCTTTAAAATAAGTAAGCAAAACAGAATAGCAGATATACATGCATGCAAATGCATGCAGCAGACAAAAAATATAGTAAGTATTACTATATATATATATAGTATAAATGCTATATTAATATAATGTACTACATATTATACAAAATATCCATACTCGGTAGCACAGGTATCATGTTAGGACTGTTAGATCAAAACCACTACTTGTTGAGAACAAAACAATGACAACAACAAAACAGATTCCTGCTCCAGGTACATGCCAATCATGTCTTTATGTAACATTCCCCCCTTCAGAAGAAAGCAGTTTTTCAACTTCCAAGCATTAAAAGAAAATTTACTGCTTTGTATACTTATCTTTCCTTAGCCCCTATGTAGGTCACTCAGTTGTTCACCTGCAGTTATACTAAACTTTTTTCATAGTTTGTCTGGTTCTTTTACTTCAGTGATTGATACTGAAATTGTATCTGGGAGCAGTGGCAATTTATCAGTTTTGTTGAATTGAAAATGAGTACAGTCTCTTGACATTTTAACTTGCTGCGCACTGAAGGTTCTTCATGCTAAGACAGCTTCAAAATGACATACCATGGAACTATCCCGAGGTTAAAGAACACAGTGCAGGTGAAGTGTTTATTTTCACAGTGGAGATCACTCTGCTCTTTCTGCCTGGACTGATACCAATGCATCTACACATTTAACCACAGTAAAATTAAACATAATAGTTAACTACATTTCAACAAAAATGCAGTAAACACCCAAGGACTATTCTGTTCACACTGCAGATTTTCAGGACCAAAGCTTAATAAAAAAAGGAAACCCGCTAGAAAAGGAGTACAATCCTTTTAATATTCTCTAAGTTTTAAAAATACTTCTTCCCCCCTTCCCCCCATTTTTTAAAAAAAAAAAAAAAAATCCCGAGTATGAACTGCATCTCACACTGTGATTTCCTGGCATAAAATTTAATGATGCTTCCAACTAGTGCTCTAATGTCAAGAACCTGAATCCATCCAAGCTTCTGGACATGCCACGATCTTCAGCTAAACTAATACTGTGCTTTACTTTGCCACATTAAAAGGAATTGCAGAGTTCAACAGCAGCACACTTGGCACAGTTACTAACCTCTAGAGCTTCTTGAAGTTGTTGCTTTAGTTCTTCATTTGACACTTCAGTATTAGATTCTGTAAGATTGATGGGAGATAATAAACGATGAGATACTGAAATACTTACAAAAGAAAACATGAGAATTTGCTTTACCCTGACAGCAGGTAACAGGCGGAGATGAATTTTGATCTTTTTGGTTTTTTCCTTCTGGAGGAAGGAAATACATAGATTTAAGAAATACATAAATACTAAGCTCAAACACATTGTTTCACAGTTAAAGAAGTCAAATGGGAAAAAAAGATCAGTTGTAAAGAGACCTAAAATAAGGATAATTATTTCAGAATTTCCTTAGAAAGAAACCCCACAACAAAATTGCCATCTTGATTCAAAAATTAATTTTATTTTTTAGATTCTTTTTCCATCGTAACTTTTCAACAACCAAACTCAACACAACAGTAGCCAGCACTATTTAGAAGAAGTAGGGACAATTTTTAAGGGACCATGATGAAATATGGTGGTGGAGTATTCCACAAGATCTAATACTCTTCTAAAGAAGTGGTTACTACTGGTACTGTTTTTCTTAAAAGGAGCATCGCAGAGACGTATGAAGATGCAGCCTCCTACTAAATCAAAGTCAGGTTCATGTGGGCTTTAACCATGCTTTCATGGATATTGCTGTGTGAAAGACCTAGGCCTAAGAGAAGCATCACACAAAGACTGTCAGAAGGACAGTGACACCAATCGGAATTATGCTTCTCTTGTAACATCTCTCCAATGCTACTGAAACCAACAAAGAATAATTACATGGCTTAGCTTACTGCTGTGTGTGGAAAGGATAGTAGGGACTTGCTCTAAAGGAGGGAAATAAGCAAGTTATATGGAAATACTTCAGTCAAAATACCAAAACCGGCTAAAAATGTAAGGCAAAGCAGCTCAAATGTAATGAACAGCACTGCCTTTATTTGATTTTATTCACAGCAGTGTTGTTTTCACAAAAAAATTTGAACACCAACAATGGGAGAATGGAGATGCCCAGGTTCTAAAAACAACTGCTTAACCTCAAAACTATGTGGATTCACAAATTTCAACTAAATAGCAAACAGGATTTTGAAGATTAACCATAAGCTTTAGATACAATCTCTGGGAAGACACACTGAAACAAGCCAGAAACCCAAGCAATTCCATTCAATTTCATGTATGTATTTAGAGAAAAACAATACTGTCCTGCACCACAGGATGCTCTTCCCTAAATGCCACTTTCAAATGCAAAACTAAACACTTGAAAAATGGTCATCCTACACTAAGAAGTGCTACAGCCTCATTCTCTGAAAGACAATTCTGCTGTTAATGTTTTGGGAGGAAGATGCAGGAACAGAGACCGCTCTGCTGCCTCGATGGCATTGAGCATCTCTTGCGACACCAGCAGCAGACTTACAGGCTGCACCAGCTAACCTGCGAGGCTGTGCTGGATCTCAGCAGGCATGCAACGCACGTGCACTTCTTGGAATCCTTCAGAGGTTTGAAAGTGTTTTGGCAAACGGCTTGAATTCAACTTGGTGACAGCTTGTGAAGCAGCTGAACTGCTCAGTTTTACCAACAGAGATTTTTCTCATGGTGAATAATTTAACTTCCAAATTACTCTTACCACAGCTATTTTGTCGGGTTGAACTAGTAACAGGCTTTTCGGATGATCCATCGTAAAAGCTGTTGTGCTTTGAACCAGGAAGAGCTGCAGCATCACTTTCTTCCAGTCTCTTTGCTGACAAAGGAGAATTACGAACCTTTCCGGTTCCCTTCCTAGATCTAAGTGAATAGAAGTTTTGCAAATGTTCCTCTTCGTAAACACCTCCAGGCCTTCTCCCAAGTCCGTTTCCCAAGTCTCCACATGTCATGTCATCCTCTTCTGCCTCCTCCATCTTCTTCTCCTGGGTTTTGTGGGTTTTGTGGGTTTTTTTCCCTGACTGAGGGTACTTCACTTACTGGCAATGC